TTGCTTTTAAGAAGTCAAAGATTAGAGCTTTTCTATATTTTTCCACACTTATTAAAAGCATCAAACATGAATCATTTAATGATACTCAGGGAAATCTTTTCATTGTCTTGTTTTCCATAGATTCACCCGAGGCGATTATGAATCTTGTAAAGATCAAATTCGGTTTAAATCTTATCTTTGTGCCTGAATTAGCAAAATATGGATATTAGGCTATCTTTTAGGATAAGTAGCCTCCCCTATTGTTAGTTCGGCCAGAAAACGTTTGGTAACGCGTAAAATATGAATTTTATTTCTAACTATATTTGATAATTTTTCTTACGCTTATTTCTAATTTTTTTACTATTTTGTATGATTAATTCTCCCAACTATCCCTTATGATTTACTTAATTTGATCAGAGCGTTGATCAATCAACGCTCATCAAAAACCTTGATATGAGTAAGAATGTTATTTGTATACAAAAATATGTTAATGAAGAGAGTATAATCAAAATAGGCATCATCGATTGATTTTTTATCGCATGCTTATGAGATATAGGATGAATACGTAATAAGAATATAACTAATGTAGACTATTTTTATAGCAAGTTCAAGTTTATCTGATTGACTATGCTACTATAAAGTGTGACTTGGGGAAGATCTGTTTTGCCTTAAAAGTCACACCATCAATTTTACCAACAACTACTCTTGTTAGTGTTGTATAGTGATAACATACCAAAGATAAAAGCTGCATTACCCGAGTTCTATTCTCGTTTGAGTTAATAAAGAGATCTAAGCTAGTCGAAAACTATAGTATAAATGCTATTTTTCATTAAATATTATCCGAATAAAAAGATTTTATCGAAGATATGAAGACCAAGAGGGTGTGGCCTTTTGTGCGGTCGCAGTCTCCTTTCGTTGTATAAAAGTTGTTTGACCTTGTTTTCGCAACTTGGTCATAATGGTATGAAGACTTATAGAAACACACCTTGTCCTGAGTCCATTGTATGCATAATTATTTCCAAAGTCTGACCGTGGACGTGGTACATTCCCAG